ACAGTTAATAGGTGAGCTTCCAAGTTCCAGTGATTGAAATTGTCATAGTTACAACCAATCCAGTTGCAAAGATTGTGGATGTGATAACCTCACTAGGATTCTACAGTGACTATAAAATAGACTTGTGCTTGGCGGAGAAGTTTGGTTCATCATTTTCTCTGAAATTGAAATTTTGTTGCAGATGTTCGATGCTTGTTCGGGTGGCTAGTGAGTTCAGCCGAATATCACCCATGCAAAAATATTCAGGGAAACATTCAGACAAACCAAAAATGGCTGTGACAAAGGGCTAATCAGTTTTCTGCAAAATATATAGATCATATAAATTATTGTACAAAGTCTAAATATTAAGCATTTATTTTGCATAATACATAATATAAATTATTGCACTGCAAAATATATACAAAGTATACCGATACTGATAGGCACCTTTTCCAAATGGCTCACAGATCAATTGTGAAAAAGTAACCAATGAAGCAAAAAAGAGTAGGAAGCGTAAAAATCCATGTTTATATATTACAACTTTATTAAATATATGATATATAAATATATAAATAAAATCTATTCTCCTGACATGTGCATGACTGGTACATTTTAATAATAGAGTTAAATGATGGGTTCTGATTTTGACATACTGATTACACGCAGCACATAAAAGCTAATTCATAAATAAAAAGATCAAGCACCAGTTAATGAACAGAAAGAAAGAAAACTGATTTAGACTTAGAAAGAAAACAGGAGGGTTAAGGCATCGTCACAAGATCATCTGAAAAGAATGTTCTGAACCATTACATGCGATCCAATGCTCACCCATGAAGAACAGGGCAACAGCAAAGGAAAAAAGATTATTAGTATCAAATGTTAATGATGACCAGTCTGGTGGAATAAAAAAGGGATTACACTGAACATTTAGTCATAAAGAGAGAATCAGGAACATGGACAAGAACTGCTTTTTGGAAATGTTTGTTTGAAACTTTACATGACCCAATAAAACCCATGAGCTATATTTAAAGCAAGCTCTACAAGAGCTAAGATAAAAAAAAAAAAAGAAACAGATTGTTTTGTCTGTAACAGTAAAATATTGTGTATGTTATTTTATGATTTTTAAAATTGAATGTAGACACATTCTCGTCCTAAAATAATTTCAGACAATAGTGGTACAGAGCGGCTCTATAATTAGGCCTTTTAGGTGGCCGCCTAAGGTCTCGCACACACTGGGGCCTCGCAGGTGCCTAAATCGCCTAAATCACCTAACTAGAGAACGGGACCTGTAGCATGGGGCAGGCAGCGGAGGGCCATCACCAGAGAGCTTCCCACTGTTAGGAGGTGTGAAGAGCATCAACATCCAGCCGCTTCTCACATTGCTGCAAATTCAGGGGAGAGAGAGGAGCACCTGCATAGGTGTCAAACATCAGATAATATTACAGGCAGGTGTTTAGGAATAGGGGATCATCTGCACTAATTGCTGAAAGTCTGGGCGAAGGTGTTATCTGTGAAGGAGCTGGTCTCTACTTGCCTGCCTGCACACTGCAATAAATCAGACGGTCACTCCTTCACACTGCAGAGGAGAAGACAATGCCTGTATGCAGAGGCTTCTATTGCAGCAGGGCCACCATCAGGAGGGTACAACACATAATCTGTCAAGGGGACCAGACATGCTTTGAAGAAAGAGTGCAAGCAGCAAGTATACAGATGGTCTCCCTTCTCAAATGGTCTACACTCCGAGAAGAGAAAAATATATATATTTTGAGCTCTCGCCAAAACATGCAAAATTTATTTTGCTATATTTAGAATCAGATATGCTTTTAAAATAAATAATTTCTAAGTTTAAGTTTTTCCCTCCAACAGAAACATAAGAACAGGCCAGAAAAATAATAATAAAAAATTTAATAAAAATAAAACAGGTATCCATTTATGTAAATAAATAAAATTGTGGACTGATAATTTAAACGGAGAAGGAAAAAAAAGATATTGCAGTGGTGTAAAACATATTATTGTTTTGGCTTTGAATCTCACTGTAAAGTTGAAGGACGAGGTTCAAGTCCCAAATTCCAATGTTTTGGATGATACTGGTCTAAAATCCATGTTGCTTATATTATTATTCACAATGTTTATGTTATGTTAATGAGTAGACCGAGGATACAATTCGTGCAGGCAAGCCAATGGCAGGTATGCAAAACGAGAAATACATTCGAATGCAATAAAGTAGAAGGAGGAATTTTTAGCCAAGAGGGGTTCTTTTTATTAAATCAAAGCTGTTTTCAATTCAAAGATGAGTTCTCAGTATATAAAACTAGTTTGAGTTAAAAATAACAAACATATATAGGTCCTTGTCCACCAGTGTGGAATGCAATACATCAACATCACTGGCAACCAAGGATGTAATGGTAGAACCATCTTCTTCAAAACCCATCAGCCAATCCCAAAAGCTCTGGGTGAAACTCAAATAGAAGATATGCTGCTTATGTTTATTTCCTCCTCTACATACCCTAGTCGACGTGGAAAGGCCACCTGTAGCCCACATAGCTGATTATTTTATTGCATTCGTGTCCACTGTGGGTACAGACAAATACAACAAAAACTCATACTAGAGCCCTTTCCCAGCTTTGAAAAGCCTAAATAATTTCCTAGCTACATCCCTATGCTTTCCTCCAAAGCTGACTTTCTGTCTAGAATACTGGGGGAGGTGATAGGATCCATAGCAAGTCACTTGGAGCCTACTTTATAATGAAACCTCAGCAGGTACAATTTCTGACCTCAGATTATCATGGAAATTGCTATGGTTTCTAGCTGATACGGAGCCAAAGATCATTAGCATAACATTGTCCCCCTTCCATCAACAAATTCTTTCTCAGTCAATCCATTTAGATAATTTCTAACAGTTCCCATGCTAATTCCAATATGGTAACGAAATATTTACAGGCTTTCAGACACACTGACATGGTGAAGTCCAGACAGTCAAACATGGCATGTTTACGCTATAAAATCATAGACTATCTAATTGCTGTGAAGGATCCCTTCTGTTGAGATTTCAGACTCAGAGATGTATTCACTAAACAGTCACTTCTTGTATAATGACAACTATTTTACAAAATGTAGGCTACAGTATCACAGCTGGAGTATATTTTATCATATTTTAAAAACTTGACTGTTTAAGTAGTTTTATTTTGGGGGAGGGGTGAAAAATAATTTCATGTTTTAGCACAAAACACAATTTCTTTCTGTAGCACACTCAGTGCTTTCCTATTGCATTTCGGGAGAAAAATGTAACTATTTTATTTATGGGTTTTTTTTGTTTTGTTTTTTTAGAATTTCTATTGGCACAGATTAGCAATGTATCATGTGACCTCTAGTTTCCCAGGTGGAAAATGTCTTATGGCTACCTCTGATGTAAATAAACACCTTTGCCAGATCAACAAACATGTGGACACATTGACACTGGCTAAATAATGTCTTCATCATTATATATATTGCTAATAAACAAGGCAAGCTTTTGTTAATAATTGAATTTTAAATGCACAAACAATGCATGGAACTACTATGGGTTTTATGGGTGTTGTGACCAACTAACATGACTGTATTTATCTAAAGAACAAAGAAGAGTTTTGTGTAACACATGGACGCAAATAATATACTCCTTAAATTCTAGCTCATTGTATAATTGCTAATTAAACTCTGAAAAGAAATATAATTTCTAATCAGCGCTTATTGTTGAAAAGCACGTATGTGTTTCTGAGTATTGCCAACCTAAAATAAATACATCTTTATTATATATTACAACAATGCTGAGGTCATAAGTGTGCTTACGGGGTGCCTAAATACAACCTAATGCAGGTCCAAATTGTCCCTCTGCCTTGTGTAGGTCTCTTTTGCATGAGGTTGGGTTAGCTTGTGATGTGAATAAAACAAAATTCATGACGATTAGCGGAGTCTAGCACCTTCGTTAACCTCTGGTTGGGAGTAGTCTCTTATACCCCTATTTTGGTCTAAAATCCATGGCCCACTTTTTTAGACCTCTGGCGCGTTCCCTATGCTTCTCCATTATACCAAGACCCCGTCTCCCAGTACAAGAACTCACATACAGTTCATATACTGAGTATAGCAAAACAATCGATCCCCCTTTTTTTAGATACAACAAATTAACGCTCCATTGAGCCTATGGTTCACTAAGTTGGAGGAACTTTGTTCCATGGAGGAACTGATTTTTAACACCTCAGATAGAATGCAGCAACATATGGATATTTGGACTTATTGGTTATTCACCACTTCTACTACACCAACTTACGCTGCTGTAGCACATATGGGGTAAGTGGTAGTTATCTTCTTGGCTTTGAGGGATAATGGACACAGATGGCTTCTTCCTAAACAGTGAAACTCTTTCTCCAATTCCCCTTCCTCTACCCATCTCTATTCCTTCTCTGGTCCCCTCTTCCCTACTATGATTTTATGTTTTTCTGAATTTTATGATTAGTTTGGGCTAGATGGGGCCCAATACCTTGTGCCTCTACAGTCTTTTGTTTTATGTCTAGACCTGGATTCTTTTTTTGCAAATAACTTTGATGCGAGATCTGTGTGTCTCTTTTTTGTTTGTTCGTTCATTTATGTTACAGGGTCCTGTGAGCCCTACCTACTGCTTCTCCTTTTCTTTGATAATGTTTTTTTCTCTCCTCTGTTGTACTGTGAAAATGTGAATAAAGACAAATTTACAAAAATAATTAAAAATATATGTATTTATAAATATATATAACCTTTTCTGTATATACCTGGTCACTAATGCAAATATTTATATTTTGTACCTTATTTTTAAATTAGGTTTTTCTTAGTAAAGTCTATAAATGTTATTTGCCTAGGTAAACACACTAATATCTATGCTATGTGGTACAGAGTTAAATTTAATACTTCCAACTAGTGATGTTGCGAACCGTTCGTGAACTTGCCGCGAATGGTTCGCCACGGTTCGCCACGAACCGTTCGCGACGAACCGTTCGCAGTGAACTCCGGTCAGCTGACACATCCCTGCCAATCTCCGGCAGACCCTCCCTCCCAGACCCTTCCACCTCCTGGACAGCATCCATGTTGTTCGCGGCGAACTCCGGTCCAGGAAGTAGGAGGGTCTGGGAGGCAGGGAGGGTCTGCCAGAGATTGGCAGGGATGTGTCAGCTGACCGGAGTTTGCCGCGAACGGTTCGTGGCGAACCGCGGCGAACCGTTCGCGGGCAAGTTCGCGAACTGTTCACGACATCACTACTTCCAACTATTGGGGTTTAAGAGGTTGTTTAATATTATTATTATTATTGCCATTTATATAGCGCGAACAGATTCCATAGCGCTTTACAATATTTTGAGAGGGGGAATTTAACTATAACTAGGACAATTACAAGAAAACCTACAGGAACAATAGGTTGAAGAGGAAAGAGCTAGAGGAAAGAGTAAAGTGCTGTCCTTTAGGAGAGAGCAAGACACAAGTGTGTAAGGTAGAGGTTGCTCTGGGAGGCCATAAGCTTTCCTAAAGAGATGGGTTTTAAGGCACTTCTTAAACAATTGAAGACTAGGGGAGAGTCTGATGGAGGTAGGCAGACTATTCCATAGGAAGGGAGCCACCCGCGAGAAGTCCTGCAAGTGCGAGTTGGCTGTACGGGTGCGAGCAGTGGACAGGAGAAGGTCACAGCCAGAGCAGAGAGACTTGAATTGACTCCTATAGGATACAGGAAGCCATTGCAAGGACTGACAGAGGGGTGAGGGGTTAGGGTTGAGGTGTGAGAGGACCAACTAGAGAGGAATATTAGTCTGGCAGCAGCATTCATTACAGAGTGTAGAGGGGCAATACGGCTTTTGGGAAGGCCAATCAGGAGAGGGTTATAATAATCCATGCAGGAAATTACTAGAGCATGGACACGCTCCTTGGTAGTATCTTTTGTAAGAAAGGGGCAGATGCGGGCTATGTTTTTAAGTTGGAATCTACAGGATTTGGCAACAAACTGGATGTGAGGATAGGTACTACAGTGGCATGTTTAAGGTCAGCAGGGACAGCGCCAGAAGAGAGAGAGCAGTTGAAAATGTGTGTTAAGGAAGGCACAAGACAAGGGGAGTGAGATCTGATGAGGTGAGATGGGACAGGTAAGCAGTAAGTGGTGGGGCGAGAGGAAAGGAGAAACGCAGCCATCTATTGTTCAGTAGCCGGGGCGAAAGTCTGGAGGGTACGAAAGGCATGATCTACGTGGGGTTGAGAAGAGAACGGCAGGGTGGGGAGAATTCTTTCTATAACTGTTCAATCTTGTTGGTAAAATAGCATGCAAAGCTATCGGCTATATATAAAAAAGCTGATCTCTACTATATAGACCTTTAGCCTCACTAATTAAAACACTGTGAAAAAATAGGCCTATGTTTGATACAAATGTATATGAAATATCTTTAAAAAGCACATGTAAATGTTACCGCCTAGCGATTACAATATATTTTTAGTGCCAAACTGAAAGTTCCTCTTTACACTATTCTGAACTGCCCTTTGTACCATAACAAAGGTACTCTGTAAAACTTGTGCTTTGCAAATGTGTTAATAGACCCACTGTTATTGTTAAGAATTCTGAAGTTGGGTGGAGATCACACTCTGTGATATTCTCATATTACCATGACTAATGTCCTAATTTACTGGGATGCTGTCACAGGGATAATTTGATTTAAAGTATGCCTACATGCTTAATGAAAATATTCTGATGTCCATATGGCTTAAGACCTATATAACACAGACATTTTGATGGGAAATAATTTGTATATAAATGTGTACTTTTATGTCTATATTCTTAATAAAAGGCATACATGTTATGTTTTATTATTTGAATTAATTCATTACATGTATTTTTGAAGTCTGAAAAGAAAAAAAGTACAAATTATCATTTCTTTATTTTGCAACTGAGTGCCTCCATCTTATTACACTGTCAATGATTAATAAAAAAGGGACATAATAGTCACCAAAACAAGTTTGGCTTAATGAAGCAGTTTTGGTGTATAGAATATACCCCGGCAGTCTCAATGCTAAATTCTCTGCCATTTAGGAGTTTAATTACTTTTTTTATACAGTCATTGCTACACCTCTCTGCATGTCACTTGAACAAATAGAGATCTAACATTTACACTTCCTATATTGTAGATTCTGTTCAATTAAGAGTTTCTTATCTCCTGCACTGTTGGTAGTATTCTAGACTGTCCAGGAGTCTCCTGCGGTTAACGTTCAATTTACAGAGCAGGCGATAAAAACTTCTAAAGAAAGATTGCATCTGATTGAAACTGAAACCATTTTTGCTATGGAGGCTGTATCAGTCACAGTCAAAGGAGGTGTGGCAAGGACTTTATAAACAAAAACAAAACTGATTTAACTCCTAAATGGCAGGGAATTGAGCATGGAGGCTGCAGGGGCATGAGCTATAAACTAAAATTGCTTCATTAACCTTAAGTTGTTTTGGTGATTATAGTGTCCCTTTACCACTGTTCTTTGCACATTACAGTCAATAGAGAAAGCATACAAAGACATACAAAAAAAAAAATAAATAAACAGAGTTTCTATATATGGAATGTGTGGTCTGGCTGTTCCTAGTCTCAACTGGATTGTGGTGTTATTTCTGAATCTTTAATAGAAATTGTGAAGAAAATGGAGCATGACATGATAAAAAGGTTAACACACATTATAAGTGATTTTTGATGTTTTATTCAGTGGTGTAATTTTTAAAGAAGTCTTTAAACTCTTTGAGGCATATACTAATAAAATGCAAAATCTAGGTGCCAACAAATAATTGGCACTTTACGAGTGGTACATAGCAACCTGGAAGGTATACAGAAGAAGTTGCCATAACAGCTTATAACTGCACAAGACTGGCTAGATTTAGACTGGCTAGATTTAGAAATACTTAGTTTAAACAATACAATAAAACAAACTGAAGGCTAGCAGTTAGCACTGGTTAAATAGGCATGTTCTCACCATATAGGCATTGTTTGGATCCGACCAATTGAGTCCAAGGAAAACTCCTGGAAGCACTGTAGATAATTAATGGTGTGGATACTACTCTAAGTAGAAAATATAGAACTCTGCACTGTCCGTCCGTAACCTCCCCCGTCCCCACCCGGCACCAAGAAATTAAATAAAATGAGAAATACATGGAATTTTTTTTTTTTTTTTAAATAGTAGTCAAATATATTAGAGAGGTATTAAAAAAAATTACCCATTCCTCTTCCCAGTCAGTGTGTAAAAAATCAGAGACCATTGACTAAGTCCCCAGCTCCCATGAAAACATAAGGAGACCAAGATCAGAAAACCTTTAGTTTCTGTATAGCTGTGCGTAGAAGCACTAAAGTCCCTAAAGACAGCTTTGTTAGCAAGTATAATCCATGCAGCCTCACACATGGTAGACCTCAGAGTTAACAGATCCATATCACATGGAGCAGACCAAATATATGGTGTGCACTGTGCTCCATAATAGTTGTAGGTAATAGTGATGGTTAGGTAGGGATGGCACCTCTGCGAAATCATTGTGCTCAAAATCTGGGCATTTCACTCAGAGCTGCCGAAGATGGCATACAGCTTGAAAGGTCTGGCTTCGCTCCCATTTTTTTGCTTTTAACACTAGTATTAATTGAAATAGTAAGCTATTTGTATACTTCAGAACTACTCAAATATTTTCACAAATTAAAGCAATTTTTGAATGTTGACGGACTTAAGTTTAAATATACAAGGTTAATGTTTTGTGCAAAAGCTACATGAGTAAATTTTTACAGTACTATAATATTCAGGAAACAAGGAAAACAATGAAAACTCCATAACTCCAGCAGGCAGCCACACTGATTGTGCCAGCATTTTGCCAGGCTCTGAGTCATCAATGCCATTTTTATTCATAAGAACCAGACAATAAAATGGCTCAAAGCTTAGATTCTTACATAAGAAAGGTAGCTTTGTATCAAAGCAGTCAGAGTTTGGGTAAGATATTAGTGCAAGGTTATTGTGTAGGGGAAAAAAAAGAGATGATAGGTTAGATTAGAGTATAACATTTTACTCATAGGTTCATTAATCTATTAGAGGAGCAGATGGGGAGAGTTCTAGGATAATGATGAATGCACACATTGTCAGACAATAGGGAACACATTGTTCTCATAGCTGAAGATGCTGAATGTGATATGATTTACACACAGGTGAGACACTCGCTGCTCTTGCATAAGACATCAAAAGTGAACATCTGCTGCCTGCCCAGGTGTGACTTGTCTATCATTGACTGAGATCATGATTTTACCTATCTCTTCCTTAAGAGTATACCTTTGTTTTGTATGAAAATTTAAATTTCCATGAGCATTTTGTGACAAGTAAACTCTGGAGAGAAACCAAATAGCTAAGCACCCATAAACAGAGTACTAGGATAACAATGCAATAAACAGAACACAGTTCTTTTCCATTTGAGAATTGATGTAATACCCTCTAACAGGAAGAAAAGTAGTCTGGAAAGGGAGTTTATGCACTAAACCCTCGTTGTGCCGACACAAACTCCCGGGTTAGCCTTAAATTAACCCTTTCAGTGGCTGCAAAACTGATATACACACCAAACATATATTTATAGATTAACGTTATTATGGAGCCGATAATTCACCAATATTTCACGTACCTATAGCTATTACTGTCTTGTGGGATAGAATTTATTTGGTACGTTTTTCACTTATTTGCAACAATTCTTTCCTTTACACACCCTCTCTCTTTGGCTATTCCTTGACCCTCTTAGCAGTTAAAGCAAAATGTTAGCGTTAGGAATACATATTTGTATGTTTCTGCCTAAGATTCTGTCATAGAGAATCAATGAATACAATGCTTCTTTATGGCCAGCAGTGACGGCACTGTGCATGCGCGTGTGACGTTACAGTATGTTACGATATGAGAACCGATAAGTAAGATTCCTAACTTTCATACCTAGAGGGCTTGAAGGCATGGCTTAAAGTTACACTTCCAAGCCCTCTAATTAATTAACTAACGGGTTTTGGGGGGTAGAGAGGGAGGGCACGACTGCGGTCACTACAACAACTTCAATAAAATTATATTTATGACTACAGTGTCCCTTTACGATGTTCACCTAACTGTGTCTTATATCCGTTCCTGTTCAGGGGCTGTACCACCTATCCTGACAAGAGGAAAA